ACACAAAACTCTGGTGCGGCCTTTGTGAATTTCAGTGTCCAGGAGCCCATTGTCTCATAACCGACCCATCAACGCATATAGTCTTTTAGGAAAGCAAAAGTCAACCTGCAAATCTACTGAAGGTCTTTGTCACACCCAAATGCTCTATAGTGGACTTTCTAAAATGGCCTAGTTTGGACTGAGACTACATACTGAGCACGATGCGCTCCTCATTTCTGCAGAAACAATAATCAAACGCCTTTCTCATGTGTCGACCAGCGTAATTTAGGAAATATAAAGACTTCTGCCGTCCATAACCAGGTGAAATGATTCTCACGGAGAGCATCCTTCACACAAACAAGGAGAGGAAAGGTCAGAGGGCCGGACACATTCCTTCCTCCTCTCGGAGAGACGGGAGGATGAAGAGAGGGATGAGAAGGAAAGTGGAGGAGGAGGAGGAGAAACAAAGTGGAGACACCGCCATCCCATTGGAGCAAAGCCTGAAGAACCCGTCTGGAATTCTGGGATGTCAGGAGACAGGAATGGAGGGAACGTGGCGTTAATTTCTGTAAAAAAAAACACGAAAAATGTTAAGCAGTTGTAAACCAGGTGTGATCTGAAACCAAAATTAAATAATCATCATTTTGAAGTGACACATTTTATTTATGCAAAGATTCATTTTATCACACATTTTAAACAAAACAGGGCACCAATGGATGGATATTAGTCATTCTAAGGTCTCCGATTTCATACAATGGGATTAGTTATCATAATTAAACATGTACAACTCAAATACACATCTAAAGACATCTCCAATAAATAATCACAAGTAATTTACATATTTGACATTAACATATACAGACTGAAAAGATGTAGGCCATGCAGAACTGCCATTCACATGACTGATGTTACATTCACGAACGATCCGATTCTTTTGAACGGCTCTTTGGTACGAACGAAGGGAACCGAGTCGTACTTGGTGAGAGCCGTTCTTCAGTGGTACAGGTAGACGACGTGTTTTTCGGGTGAGAAAATGGGCCAAACGCGAAAACACAGCAGCAGTTGGATGCACTTCAACAAAAACCTAGGCAATGATAAAGCGGAGTGCAACATTTGTAAAGGCAAAATATCATTTAAAGCAGGGTCAACGAATAATCTCCACCGCCACTTAAAAAAACCGGCTCTTTTGAATGGCTCTCGGAAAGGAACGGAGCCATAAAATCCGGCTCCTTTCAAAGAGCCGTAATTCCCATCACTAATTCACATCACCTCAAACTGTAACGTTCCCAGGAGTCCCAGCAGCTTCTACTGAAGCCAGTCCCCAACTCCGGGGACTTCCGGCCGGGGACTTCGGGGGTGGTGAAGTGGTTTGCGGCCTGCCAGTAAACCCAAAGCAGAAGAAGAAGAAGTGACGTCAGCGGCTTCATTTGCGTAATCTTCCCTCAGGGAACTTATTCCGGTGTGAACGTGATCTGTACTTAGTGCCCTGGGGTACTGAGTGCCGGCACTAAGTACGGCAAAGTACTTGGTGTGAAAGCGGCTAGTGTCCTATAATCATGCCTCGTTTAATTGCACAACGTTCCTCTATGTGTTTTTCCAACCCGCCTTTCACCGATATTGCATTTTTTTCTTCAACAGTGACCTTGCAGATTCTCAACCCTCTGGGCTTCTAACATAAATGTCACAATCGTCTGGTTTCTAGTCCACTTTTAAATCTTTCTGGAGGCCTCGTAGATCTTTAGGAGGAGCATCTCTCCTCCCAGCACTCTGTCATTCTGGCACATTCCTGCACGTTCAGCATATTTATTGTATTTCTCAAGAAGCAGACATATTTTTATGATGTCCAGCTTCCTGTATGTCTATCCCATCTATAAATAAAACCCACCTTTTGACATTTCAAATAATAACTATTTGTTCCATGCTCTTCTTTAGGTTTAAGACAATTATTTTTCTTAGTCTGGAGTGAGTACTTACTTTTTTTGATTTCCATAAATTCGTAAATACATTAAAACGATATATTAGACCGCATGATATCTGTTTAAAAAAAGTATGTAAGGTAGCCTGTAAGAATGATCTTCTTCATGTGGAAGTAGATATGAAATAAAGGTTTGTCTTGAGTCTGTGACAGGCAGCCAGACTGCTAAAGCCCGGGCATGAGAGCGGGCTAAATGTAGTCTGAGTTACTGCCAACACTGAGATGAAGAGGTAAAAATAGAACGGGAAATATATATATATAAAGAGAGGAAAGTGTGGACAAACTGTGAGATATAAAGGTTAAAAAAGCTGCCATTGTATGTGTTCTCATAGGCCACAAAGCAAAAATAATTAAACAAAGGAAAGTTAATGCAAGAAAAGGTGTTTGTGGCAAATTCTCAACGATGCTGTGAGTGATGAATTTGAGCCAAAATGGTGGCGATTAGACAATAATTAAAATGCATGTATGTCTACTCTCTAAGCTGTCTCATCTGCGGATAAATCAGGACAAATATGAGCATTTTTCCTACGTGAGAAACTCAGTTTTGCATTACTTTTGGATATCCATATAGAAAGGTCTTAAAGAGGAAATGATTGCAGGATAATATATGAGGTAATGCAGGGCAAAATGGTAGCACACTTCAACACGAGGAAATTCAAAGTGCAACGCAAAGCAAAAACATTTAAAGAGGCCCTATTGTGCTGTTTGGGGTCTTCCCTTTCCTGTAGTGTGTTATATAGATTTTAGTGCATGTGCATGTTCTGCAAAGGCTAACATCCCTGTGAGCAGAATATGCCCCATTTAAAACTTACACTAAAAACATTAAAGCATGTTCAACAGATAAATTAACATTTAAAAGTCATTAAAAAGCCAAGAAAGTACAAATAAAAGAAACTCAAACGTAATACCGTATACAATTCAAGTTTAAAAGTTACAGTGCAGTGTAGATATGAATACATATTTCATTTTACAAAAAGGCATCGGCAAAGAAGTGATTAAAACAAGTGAGAGTTGACAGGTTTCGGGTAAATGTTTCCAGATATATGGAGCAACTAATCGCTGCTTCTCCATCTTTATTTTTGACTCAGTTGACAAAGTACATTATGGTTCATATTGCAGCAGAAGATCAGACATGTATGATAGCCCCGAAACCATTCAGTGTTTTAATAATAATAATAATAATACATTGGATTTATATAGCGCTCAAAGACGCTTTCCATCTTTACAATTAGACGTATGAATGCTAATTGGATGAGGTCTCCTGGTCACACAGCCGGTCCTTGTAGGGCTCGTCTGAGCTGCAGGGCAGGAATGTGGGGAGCAGACTTCCAGTAACGGGAAATATTCGGAGAGGATTTAGCCTCGGAATCTCAGCCTCGCACGGAGACGCTTCTGTTTACACCGTAAATCTGTGGAGACGCTCCACAGTTTGTCATCGAGGCACGAGAACCTGCAGAGAACCTTTCTCTCCAAACGCTGTGTGAAGCAGGTGATTTCACACACAACACACATCCTATTACCCTGAGGGGGTGCAACGACATGTGACACACACTCCTGCTCCATGATGACATGAAGATGAGCAGAGGTGGGAAGCACTGGAGTACAAATACTTTGTTACTGTTCTTAAGTACATGTTTCTGGTATCAGTACTTTACTCCACTACTTATTTTACTTTGACTTCTTACATGTTGAACACAAATACCTGTACTTTCTACTTCTTACATTTTGAACACAAATACCTGTACTTTCTACTTCTTACATTTTGAACACAAATACCTGTACTTTCTACTTCTTACATTTTGAACACAAATACCTGTACTTTCTACTTCTTACATTTTGAACACAAATACCTGTACTTTCTACTTCTTACATGTTGAACCCAAATACATGTACTTTCTACTTCTTACATTTTGAACACAAATACCTGTACTTTCTACTTCTTACATTTTGAACACAAATACCTGTACTTTCTACTTCTTACATTTTGAACACAAATACCTGTACTTTCTACTTCTTACATTTTGAACCCAAATACCTGTACTTTCTACTTCTTACATTTTGAACACAAATACCTGTACTTTCTACTTCTTACATTTTGAACACAAATACCTGTACTTTCTACTTCTTACATTTTGAACACAAATACCTGTACTTTCTACTTCTGTACATTTCAAAGCCTCTTTTACTTGAATAAAGAAGTTTTACCAGAGTATTTTTAAACACGAGTATCTGTACTTCTACTTGAGTAAAGGATGTGTGTATTTTTGACATCTCTGAAGATGAGACCAAATGACCCAAAGTATGTCGACACCAAAGCAGAGTATAGAGTTTGTAAAATAGGGGGGTGAGTCTGTCGGTATCTCACAATCCGCTTCAATTCTGGGGTCCCAATTCGAATATCTTTTCCAAATCAGGTTTTGTTAGAGTCCATTTCAGTCAAAAATAATCGAGATAATTCAAAATGGATTTGACATAACGCTGGGAGAACATTTTGGTGTAACTCACGACTCGTTCTGATTCTTGGGGTCCCGATTCGATTAAAATCTTTACAAAATCGGGTTTCGTGACAGTCTATTACAGTACAATATATAATAAGGTATTAAATGAAAGATAGATAGGGACAAATGATTAATATAAATATGCATTTAAACATAAAAAGTTAAAGGTAGAATGAGAAATACAAATATAAAATGTAAAAGTAAGAAGTTAAATCCTAATTGATTTTTGCATTCAGCACACAGAGGAGATCTTTTCAGGAATGAGATTACGGTTTCTTCATCCTGGGGGATATGAAATAAAGTTGGGAGATATATAACAAATGTTTTCGTATCTCAGGTGTCGATTTGATCACTGTGTCGTGACAGTCCATTTCAGTAAGAATTAATAAGCTGTTATATAACAAATATAATCAAAATACTTATATAAACATACCAAGTTAACGGTAGAAATATATTTAAAACAAATCGTAGCTTAAATATGTTTAATAAGAGAAAAACAAATGTAAGAAATGGAAAATTGAAAAGCAGAAAACGGAGGATTTCAAGTACTGTATGTACAGTTTTTAATTTAGAATATACAATACATTTGACATTTGAGTGTAGTAATTACACTACAGCATACGATGTTTTACACACATGGATTCTCTTGAGTTTCAAAAACATGTATACAGTATAATATAACTTGCAGGTTTGTATGCTGTTCAACATTTTACCGTTTTTTTACCATCATCCTAAACAAAAAAGGTCATTATTGAACATTTTTAAACATGTCGGACCTCAGGTTGTCCATTTATCACATGTCAGGTTATATAATGACTTTTAAATAGCCACATTTGAATAATTAACAGTCAAAACCCTAGTTTAAAGTGATCAGCTCCTAACTTTTACAGCAGGCTCTCAGACAGGATATCTCATTAAGTCCTTATTTAGGACTAGTAAATACTCTACAGACACAACATACATTCATTATCAGGTGTTATTGGAACAAACCCTGTCTTTGTGCAAAGTCATATATTTTCTTAGGTATAAATTACATAAAAATAGATTTTATGGCTCCAGGAAAGTCACCAAAAATCATTCAAACACAGAAAAAACGACATGCATCGGGACGGAACAGGACAGAATATCTTGCTGTGCTTCAATGAGGATTATTTTTCAGAATCTTCATGAATAAAAAATAAATCAACTCAAGGTTTTGTTTTGTTTTTGGCGATTCCAGCCGACCAAACCTACAGAAGAGGATTAGGGCCACATGAGAACACATTTGACCAAAAGTACAATTCATTTGTTCTCTTCCATACAAACCAAACAGTATCTCAAATCAATTTTTTTCCCCCACAGACACAACACCAAGACCTCAAACAACCGAAGTAGAAGATATTGCATAACAAAGCTTTCCCTTTGATTGAGTCTACAGTCAGGTGATCTGAGGGTATGTTCATTATTGACGTTGTTCAACATGTTGGGTTCGAAATATGTCCTAAGATATACAATACCAAAAGAGAGATTTAAGGACTCCTGACAACTCCCCAAAATATAATTTATACACAGAAAAACTCCAAGTCAAAATATCTTGCTTCCATGAGGATTCATTTTCCACTTTGTCTGTTCTTTAGACTTTAAACACTGTTTTTGCACAATAACTCAATAACAACCAATACAATGATCATGCATGACACATGCTCTCCTGTATCTGACTCTACACAGTCAGAGGGGATGTCAGGGCGTCAGTGAGTCCCTGTGTGTCCACAGCGGGGCTGCACAGCAGAGACGTGTCCTGCAGCAGAGACACCAGCTCCACAGGACCCGGAGGATCACTCTGTTTCTGCGCAGGCTTCCTCTCTGTCTGCCTGGTCTTATTGTAAACCAACCTCTTCGTGTCACTCAAACCGCTCAACCTGGAAGCGAGGGATCTCTTCGCCTGCTGCCTCTGGATCTTCTTCTTCTGCGGGTCGTGAGCGATGTTGTGACGCTGCAGACTCTGTTTCATGGCGAAGGTTTTCCCACATCCTGCGTGGGGACAGATGAAGGGTCTCTCCTCTTCGTGGAAGGAGCTGATGTGGCTCTGCAGGTTGAACATCTTAGTGAAGGATCTGTCACAGCCATCTCTGGGGCATCTGAGTACCACCCGGGTCTCAGAGTGCACGTACTGATGCTGCTGCAGGAACCAGGAGTCCTTGAACTCCTTGTTGCACTGCTCACACTTAAATATGGGCCTGTGCTGCTCCTTCCTGTGCTTCAAATACTCCGTCCAGGTATTCCCTGTGAAGCTGCAGCCCTCCTCCTTGCAGGGGTAACCTTGATGCACCTTTCAAAAAGATTCAAAGGTTTTATTGTCATATGCACATAAGCTACAGCGTAGAAATGCAATATATATAATAAAATACAAAATAAAAACTAGTGCAAAAAGTCTATATACATGTCAATAGAATATGATATGTACAAGAACAGAATATGAAATTCACACAATGATATATGTTTAAAAACTCAAGATGTACTCCTAACTAACAGAATATCCTGTACTGATTTCTTGACAGGGTGAAAGAAAAGGACAAAACCATTACTACCCTAGGTGTGTAATGTGCCAAACAGGAATATTTACCTTCTCATGCCTCTTCAGCTTACTGGGCACAGTGAACCTCATCTCACAGCCTTCATGAGTGCACTTATGAGGGGGTAACAAGGTGTGCTGCTCACACATGTGGGACTTCAGCTGCTCCTTCTTCTTGAACTCCAGCCCACAGCCTTCATATTTGCACTCGTACTTCTTGTGCTCCTGAGTGTGGACTCTAGTCATGTGTCTGGCTCGGTTAGTGTTGGTGGTGAAGGCCTCCTTGCAGCCGTCCTCGGTGCATTGAAAGGGCTTCACCCCGGTGTGTGTGAGCTCATGTCGGGTCAGATGGTAGGGGCTGCAGAAGGACTTCCGGCAGCCGTCCTGCTCACATGTGTGCGGCTTCACTCCGGTGTGTTTACACAGATGAGCGTCCAGTTTCCACTGCTTGTTGTAAGCCGCCGCGCAGCCGGAAACAGAGCAGATGTAGCGTTTCAGCGGCTCCGGTTTAGTCGCCATTTATTCATTAACGCTATTAAAACCCCGATTAAAAACACTGCTTCACTGAGCACGTTGAACGTTTTGACACCGCTACTTCCCACAATCCACTGCGAAGTGACGCCACTTTCGAAACCGGAAGTTACGTATTACGTTCCCCAGTTGGTCGGTGGTGCAGCTACGTGAGCATTTGTGAGTGTCTTTTTTAAAGGTTTCTACTCTATGTAAACATGACAGCAGCACATTTAAGAATCGTACTACCTGTTGTTTTGTTCGCAGTTGTAATGAAGTTACAATGTGTATATATTTTTGACGTAGGAGACGCTAACGTTACATAGAAAGCTAGCTATTGCTAATGTTAGCATGCTAGCTCTTTTAAGTCCTCCATGCACCAATCTGGCAATTTTAAAAATCTTTATTTACTGTATCTTGTAAATACTTCAATATTCCTTACTCACCTATCCGACATTTTGTGAGTGTTAATGAGCCAACTTACAGGCATACAGCCAAGTACAGTTGTTGATGTAGCGAATGTTTACACTGTGTTTATATACCTTACAACCAGTGGTGGAGAGGTATTCATATTCTTTACTTGAGTAAAAGTACTTAAATCATATTGTAAAATACTTAATTTTCAAGTAAAAGTACTGTGTGGAGAATGGTAATTAAAATATATTGTACTTAAATACAAGTATAAGAACCAGAATGTAGGAATACACTGTCACAAGTAAAAGTAGAAAAGTATTATCATCAAAATATAGTTAAAGTAGCGACAGTAAAAGTAGTCATTGTGCAGATTGGTCCATTTCAGAATAATATATATGATATGTTTTATAATGATTGATCATGAAAGTGTTCTCAAAGCTGGTAAAGGTGCAGCTAGTTTGAATGACTTTGTATACTGCAGGGTAGCTTGTGGATTTACTCCAGGTGGAACTAAAGTCTGATTTAACACTTGATTAGATTTCACATCATTCATCCACATCTGTAAAGTAACTAAAGGTATAAGTACATGTAGTGGAGGAAAAGTACAAAGTAGCAACACATTGAAATATTCAAGTAAAGTACAAGTACCTCAAAATTGTACTTAAGTGCTGTACTTGAGTAAATATACTTAATTACTTTCCACCACTGCTACCAACTTTTACTGTTTAGCTAGTTGGTCTTATCAAACCTAGTGTTTTGAATAGTTTTGTTTTATTTAGATGTAACCTCACATGTTTTGTTTTCACTGACATGACTTGCTTTCTTATCCAGTGAACAAAGGGTGAAGCCGTAACTGGTGTGCTGATCCAGCTGTCACTATGGTAAGTCATTATGAGATGAATTCACAATAATCACAATGATGATGTTTAAAATCCAACTTGTACTCTTCACTAACAGAGTATCCTTTACTGTTCTCTTGACAGGGTGAAAGAAAAGGACAAAACCATTACTACCCTCCGGATTTTAATCCAGTCAAGGTGTGTGTGTGTGTGTGTGTGTGTGTGTGTGTGTGTGTGTGTGTGTGTGTGTGTGTGTGTGTGTGTGTGTGTGTGTGTGTGTGTGTGTGTGTGTGTGTGTGTGTGTGTGTGTGTGTGTGTGTGTGTGTGTGTGTGTGTGTGTGTGTGTGTGTGTGTGTGTGTGTGTGTGTGTGTGTGTGTGTGTGTGTGTGTGTGTGTGTGTGTGTGTGTGTGTGTGTGTGTGTGTGTGTGTGTGTGTGTGTGTGTGTGTGTGTGTGTGTGTGTGTGTGTGTGTGTGTGTGTGTGTGTGTGTGTGTGTGTGTGTGTGTGTGTGTGTGTGTGTGTGTGTGTGTGTGTGTGTGTGTGTGTGTGTGTGTGTGTGTGTGTGTTACTGACTTTACACTTCCATCATTCTTTGTTTTTTAGCACGGATCCCTCAATGGCTACCATAAAACCCACGCTCTGCGGGAGAGAGCCAGGAAACTGTCCCAGGGCATCCTCATCATCAGGTTAGTGTACACATATTACATTAATTATTAACGGTTGTAAGCTGGATATTATAAAAGATAATTACAGGTACTTGCATGTTTACAATATATGTTAAATGTAATGGCTTTGGAAGTTATCGAAAAGGACATATTTGTATGAGCAAATGAAGCTCTACTTGTATATAATGCGTTTTACTGCCACAAATAAGTGAGTTTGAATGCCTCATATATAACTAATAAACATATACATTTACAATTAAGTGCCACGATTTAAATAAATATAGTAATAGATAAACACACGAGACAAAAAACTAATATTTATTTGATGTGGTGTTTGTTATTGAGACGCAACTTAAATGTATGTTTAACTTGTTTTTGTCCCTTGAAGGTTTGAGATGCCCTACAACATCTGGTGTGATGGCTGCAAAAATCACATTGGCATGGGTGGGTTTGAAGAAACACATGCCCTATTTTACTCTATTAGTCTCAGTCGTATACAATGGCTTTTCATTTCCACTGATTTTCTGCTCGGTACAGGGGTCCGTTACAACGCTGAGAAGAAGAAAGTGGGGAACTACTACACCACGCCAATCTACAGGTAAACACAGTACATATCCGTCTCTATAGCTACTTAATCTACTGATAAGATTCAAGGCTTTTATTGTCATGTGTGCATAGCTACAGTGTAGTTATGGCAATGAACATCTTAGGTCACAGGCTCCTCCAACAGTGCAACACAATAACACAAGATAAAATAGTGCAAGTAAATACAAATGAAATAGAATATAGTAGAAATCGTGCATAATAGTCTATATACAAGTCATTGAAATATTGATATGTATAAGTTGCAAACAGATGAATGTTCTTTTAAAAGTTCAGGTGTTTAACAGTCGTATGGCCTGTGGGATGAAACCGTCCTTTAGATCAGGGGTTCCCAAAGTGGGGGTCGCGAGATGATTACAAAATTAAAATTGAAAATTAAAATGTTTTAATATATATTTTTTAATAATAACGTGTGCATAGACATTTTTCAGGGGCGGACTGGCCATCTGTAGAATGTCCCCGCAGCGAGGCTCCCCCCGTTGACAATCCACGAGCGCAGTGTTTCTCAAACTTCTTCATACCAAGGACACTTAACCAATAAAAAAACACTCACGGACCATTTATAACAAATTACAGCCTAATAATGACAGCTTAACTTCTCTACATCACACACAATAAATCAACAATACAAATACAACTACAGACTATATAAGCATTTAGTTCAAATGCGATTTCAAATGCTTTCAGGTTTTACACCTCTTATGAAATGTAGACTACATTTATTACAGAGTTTATGTCCGAGCCAACAGACTCACAGATCGTTGGCTACTGAGAGAAATGCAAATACACCACGTGTAGTACGACACAAACCTCCGCTGTGGATTTTCAAAACAAACTCTCTGAGGTCTAAGCCCTTTTTTCACATGTTCGGCTCGCGTGGGCTTTTTTTGTAAAAATGCTATTAAAACATGAACCTTGGTGACCATCGGGCTGGCCTGCATGGTCTGCCCCAACAACAGCCTCTGATCATCAACAGACTTCATGCAATGCTTCATCGGATGCATATATTAGATAATAATCTCTATCTCACTCCTAACACATATAAATCTACTTCCAGCGTGGATAAATGTTCATAAAATACATCCATTGTTTGTTTTATATGCTTCTTGAAATCATAAAAAACACATCGTTTTTCTAGAACAGATTACAAATCGCCAGAAAATGGTACAAACAAGTGGCAACATGTTTGACGAAGAGTGTTGCGCTGGGCTATAGCATGCAATCGAAAGTGAAACTTAAGCTCGCTCCATTGCGGACCACCCCCCCCCCCCCCCCCCCCCCCCCGTTGACAGGGGTCGCCGGCTGAAAAGTTTGGGAACCCCTGCTTTAGATAAACATGAGCCTCTCTGATAAAGACATTTAAAGCTGAATAATGAAAGACTGTTGCATCTGTTTTTCAACCAGGTTTAAGATGAAGTGCCATCTGTGTGTGAACTACATCGAGATGCAGACGGATCCGGCGACCTGCGACTATGTAATAGTAACCGGAGGGAGCAGGAAGGAGGAGCGCTGGGACATGGCGGAAAACGAGCAGATCATCACCACAGGTAAAGAGTTTGTGATTGTTATCAACAGGGCTGGGAACTGAAATTAGGATCCTGAATACAAAATGCCTGGTACCCGTTTAAAAAAGAGAATATCTGCTTTACTTATCGGTTCCTAAACACACACATTGAGGCTCATAACCGTATAAAGGGAAATTTGAGTAAAGGTAACGAGTAAAGGATGTATGTTATCAATAGGGTTGGGATCGGATATAGATTCAAGATTCAAAGGTTTTATGTACTTAAGCTACAGAGTAGAAATGGCAATGAAATGATTCTGACCTGAGCTCCTCCAACAATGCAACATATATAATAAAATACAAATAAAAAATAGGGCAAGAAGTCTCTAGAGTGCCGCAGTGACGCGTCATAAAACCCGGACGTAAACTCCTTCCGGTTCCTTCGTCAAAAACGCAATGCGATTTCTCCATAGGATTTGGGAAAATAGCTGGAAATACGGTCTGTGGTTGAGACACATTGAAGAGACAGATCACGTTTTGTTCAGCCGGATAATCTCCACATCTCTACCCTACTTTTATCATTTTCGAATCATAAATCTATCGATTGCGTTGGTTTTTGTCGAAGGAACCGGAAGGAGTTTACTTCCGGGTTTTAGGACGCGTCACTGTGGCACTCTATGTACATGTAAAATAGAATATGATATGTACAAGAACAGATAACTGATAACTAAGTATATAAATAAGTAGATAGCAAGATGACATACAGATGAATGGGTTGGGGACTGGCTCCAAGTATTTTATTTTTCTGTGTGAAACCATGTAACCTGTTTTGAACCAGAATCCTTCAAATTCAAACGATAACGACCCCTTGCGATCACTCATAAGTTCTGTGGCTTTCTTACTTCACTACTGTGGTGTAATTCATGCTGGAAATCAGCACCATAACATCAACACAAAGGTTTTTATTTTGATCGTGCTCTGTCAAATGTAAAGCACATCGTAACTGGAAAAAGGTTTTCATATCTTCACTGCATTGGGGCTTTTATTGTATTCTTCACAAAGACACAGTCTGCTTCTGCTTCTTTCCTCCTGATTTTTCGTTTGCATGCTTGTG